CCCCAAAACCCCAAAACCCCAAAACCCCAAAACCCCACCATTGGATATAAAATTGAACCCAATTTTATGACTTCAGAGCTTGAGCTAAGTACTTATCTGTTTCGTTGATGGTTTCATCTATTTCGGCCTTAATCATTTTGACAAGCTCCTCGTCCTTGAACAGGCTATATAGGTCTTTTAGGTCGGATCCGTTCTGGAAGAGAGAGTCAGTGCTAGATGATGAGGCGATTACCTTACTTATGGTTCTTGAAGTACCATTTGCCAGCTCTGTTTTGGCACAGCTCTCTGAATACCATCCTGATGTAAGTCCCTTCACAGATGTGGTTGAATTCATAAGTCTGAACACACGGTTCCTTCTGGCCAGCAAGTTCTCTACTGAGAAGAGTGAACAAGATCTTGTTCCTAAGAACTTTCATGAGATCATCTACGTAGATATGGTGGGTCTTGATCACACAATAGCCGTTTGGAAGAACGAAGGCGATTTCTCTAATTTCTTTGGCTAGGTACTCCTCATTTATCTCATCAGGATTCACTCCAAGATGATCGTTCTTGGTAAAGTAGTTCTTGAGAAGATTAGTAAACTTTGTAGCAGAGATTATTCTGAAGTGCATTAGTACCTCAACCAAGAATTTCTTGTAATCTAAAGACTGAAATGCTTCAATGCTAATGATTCCTTCCCGCTGCTTAGTGATCTCTACTTGGTACTCTTCTGTGCTTGAGGGAGGCAGGATTTGGGGAAGATATTTATCAGCTTTTATGTCAATAATAGAGTCTGGAGCAGGAACCTCTTTTGAAGTAAGCTTAGCCATTAACTCTTGGGATTTCAAGCTTGAGAGAGGGTTAACTATGAGCTCTTGTTCCTCCTCCATTTTAAGTTCAAGTTCCATTTGTTGCTGTTCCTTAAAAGAATCATTGACTATTTTGATGCTGTTTTGAGGCTTTTGAGCGGATTTAAGGGCTATTTCTGGTCCTGGGATGATCCTTTCCATCAGTTCTTTGTCTACATGCTCGAAGTCAGGCCTCATTTGGTAGATATCATCTACTGGGGTGAGGTAAAACTCGTTGTTCTTGAAGGTACCCACACAATACGAAGTCTGTGTTGGGATATGAGTGCTGGTAAGCTTATGCAAATCCTATGTGAAAGTATTAATCTTAAGTCCAAACTCATGTGAATGTCCTTACCTCTTCATCTTCGTCACCTCTGCTATTTGGAGCATTTTTATCATAATTTTTGGATTCTTTGTCTAAGCCATAAGTCATAGCTATCTTGTTGTTGAGGGTTTTAGCAGTGATCTTCTTAAGCGGTCCAGCATCGCCATATGGTCTGTTGATCTCCCTAAGTGGGTACTGGAACAGCACCATCAGTTGCTCAACATTTGAGAGGTTTACATCAATTTCTTGCACGACTGGGTCTTCTTCAGACATGTTTACTTTATTTATTATTTCTCAATTATCCAGTAATTTTATGGGGTTTTGGGGTTTTGGGGTTTTGGGGTTTTGGGG